ACTAATGCATGATTTATTTAGTTAAACTTGGTATTTAAATACCAAGATTATTCCGAACATAAACGTGACTTCGAAAATAATTTCGAAGAATCTTGACTGAAATAATTAGTTTCGAACAATAATAATATATGAAATAATTATTTCAGAACTAAACGCGTAATTACATAAATAACATGACGGGATATAACAATTTGTGTGTCCTCGGCCTGATGGTGAAGGCCTTGGTCGATTTTTAGTTGTTTTAAAGCCTATATGAATTTTTGAAATCGATCTAGCTTCTGAAAATTGGAAAAATGATATAAAATTGAATACTCAGCCAAAGTGTGTGACATTTTTATGGTCATCTCAAGTGTTGATTATGGTCCTTTTGTAAAAATTTCATTTGAAAATACGATTTGTTGCTATCTGTTCGGAGGGTTTGATATTCTGGTCTGTTTCTTCAAAACTTTGTATAAAATCAATGCTTCTCCTTTTTGGCTGATTTTCTGAGGTTATGAGTATTTTATCATGTTCACCAGGAAGTTTAAATTTCAGAATTTAATTCGAAGTTTAGATACCTGAACCGAGATTCGGAGGTTTTTTCCTGTTTCATTGAAAAATGATATGAAAATATCTACTCGACCATTTGATCTGAAATTTTTATTTCCTGGTTAATTTCGGATGTCTAGCATGCTGTACAAATTTCAAAGGGAAATTCGTCTTGTAGCATTTTGCCCTCATTTTTACAAAAATTGTTTGATCAAGTTAGGAATTTATTTAAGGGTCAATATATGGTGTTTTGATGTACTTTTGAGTCATTATTATGTGGTTAAATTTCAGGTCTTAGCTCCTCATATAGGTATGTGAACCCAATTTTGTTCTTTCTGAGTCTAGATTCCAAAACCAAGTGTTTCAACTTCCACATAACTTCTTGAATGACTTGGTTGAATCATGTTCGACTAAGTATGATCATTGTTTCCTTCTAAGGTCAAGATAAGTTGTTGACTGTATTATCTTGACTATTTGTAGGTGTCTGACGAGTCGAGCTCTCTACCTACACGTGATCGTTGTGTTACCTCTTGCTTTTGTCCAGGTGGGTTTATTTAAATTGTTATGCCGTAAGTTATTTTATGTCTTGTTGGGTTGGTATGATCAATGTATGCATGTGAACCATATATAACCTTCGATGTGAGTTGTATGTCCTTCGACGGTGCCTAATGATAGGCAGTCTCCCTAAGTCCTAATGATAGGCCATGCTGATGTGAGTTGTATGTCCTTCTCTATGTACTCCCGTTGTTGAGAGTTGTATGTCCTTCAATGGATAATGATAGATGTGTACACAGGAGTAATGTGAAATGGTGTGTTGATTGGAGATGTGACATGTTGATTGATTTATGTTCATGCTGCGACCAAACCTCTATTTACATTATGTTGTTATTTACGTGCATAGTGGTGAACACCACGAGTTCCATTTGTGCTCACCTCCACTTTTCTTCACCAGGTTGAGCAGGTTGCGGGCATGACGAGAAGGGGACGAGTGGCTGGTCATATGTTATTATTTATTCTGCTTCCACATGTTATATGGTCTTTTTGAATCTTGTGTTGGTTTTTAGACATGTTGAAAATGATTTCAAACTTGTGTTTTGAACATGTTGGGTTTTGGGCTGTTTTTCAAAACCTATGTTGGATTCGTTTCTTTTGAAACACGTAGTTTGGATATTCTCAATTTTGTGATTGTTGAATATCATGTAATGTGTTATGCTATCGGTTAATAAAAACCATGTGAGAAACTGAGTAATGAAACCCCGTGAGACCAGACATGACTTGATCTATGTAAATTTTTTAGTAATGCCCATGTTTAAAGTTGATTTCGAAAAAGGTATTTCGAAAATGTTTTATTAATTTTCTGGAAGTCTGGAATTTCTTTAAAATCAAAGTGGAGCTTTACAGCCACTTATGTTCAACGCTTCTATAATGCATATCAATATCAATATTGATGGGTCTCCTTCTAGATCTGGAGTGAACCGGATGAGATGTGCTCCGATCTGTTTGAACCGTCTTGAAATCGCCTCTAGACCCTCACAAACACCTGCAAGAACTAAATGTCGAAAGTATTTCCGGTGTAGAGCC